CAAACCTACACAGAGATACAATAGTGGTAATAACAGATAAAATATGAAGTTTTTTTTATAAAAAAAGCATTTGATTATTATCTGAAGGTTATTGAGGTTTCACATGTGAAATTTGACAATTTTCTGATGCATAAAAGTATTTTTAATCTTAAAATTAAAATTACTTTGCATGTTGGATAGTCAACATTCAAAAAGAAAAAATGCATCAGCAAATCATTACTAAAAATCTTAAAACTTGATACAAAAATCTGACATTTTGTAAACGAAAGCATTGTAGAGTTTACTGATAATCTGCAAAATATCATGAAGATATGCTTACTGAATTAAAAGTTATAGCATGAAAACTACAACAAACACAAAATGGTAACAAGATCAGTCCTTGGGACTGAGCAAGTAGTGAGAGAATTAACTAAGATAACTAGTAGCATATGGAAAAGAGATGGGTAAAAAAACCTGGTAAAGTTTACTATTCACAAACTTCAGTTTAGTTAGTAAACTTTAATATTAAAACTAGCTTCAGAGTTCAAGTTTCTCAGCTACATTTATTAAGATAATTGAAACCAAATACTTTATTCAATATCTATAATATTTAATTTGGACAAATTTGAACAAACAAACATAAAAAACACTTACTTAAAAATGATCATTCCTAACATGTCAACAATTCAAAAATAGTATAATACCTGATTGGGACTTGGTGATAACTTTATTCTTTCAACTGCTGTCTCAGGAACAGCAGATTCTGTCTTTAATCTAGTGGAAGAGTCAGTTCTATCCTTCATGGGTTCTTCAGATTGACAAGCATCTACGTTTGCTAATATTAAATTTTTTATTATTCACTGAGCTTGAAATAAAAAACATTAATTAAACCTGCATGTATGTATATTTATGTGTATACATACATACACACACATGGTAAATAAAACATAAGACAATGTTTTTTAATGTCAAATGTCTTATGTATTTAGCTATTCTGTGTGCAACAGAAAGTTTTAGAATTTCAACCACTGAAGGCCTTTTCTTGATGAGTTTGAACTCGTGCTATCAACAAAACATGTGACTTAAATTTTCTGAATGTAATTTAAGTATTGCAGAAGATGCATAACTTACCAATAATTCTGCACTCTTTTACTTTCATGTGACTTATTGTACAGGCATCAGGGGATCTTAAATAAGCTCTGCTTTCCCAACATAATTTAGATTTTACTGAAAGTTGCAGTAGAGACAAAAATTCAGTTGTGAGGAATCAGGAGAGAGGGCATTTCAGCAATAACTGTCTGTTTGAAATTCATTTTAATTCTAAAACTGTGAAATTAAAATAAGTAGGCTTGCATCTGAAATACTGAAAGCCAGAATACTCACAGTGTGAAAGAAGTGAAAACCCGACGAACATGGAAAGAAATGGAAAAATATAAAACTTCAAGCTACAGGGCAAGAAAATAATAATTTAGATTACAAGAAATATGTAGCCAATCAAAGTCAGGGTAGAATCCAGAAACAGAAACTAATTTGCAGAACTGGGTGTGAGGGCAAACGAATGATGGAGCAGACCAACCTTACAAAAAGACTGGGCCTAAAAAGACTTAAATCCCATTAAGGAGAATGTGTAGGTACTTGTGGTGGGTATGATCATGAAGCTCAAAAATAGCTTGAAAAAGTAGGGTTGACAGAAGTAATGACTTTTGTGGTAACAGAAAGTGGTTGAGAGTGCAGCTACATAGCATGCGATCAAAGCATACAAGCCCTGATCATGAAAGACGTACATAAAAAATGAGGCAGGTGATTGAAAAGTTGGAAAAGGCAATAATCTGGATCCTACAAACACAAACTTCTAAAGACAGATGAACAGGATTGATATAATGCTACAGAGGAATGTCTACAAGAGTGTGACAACCTTCAAACTACTCGAGAAGAGAGCAAAAGATTGCACCACAGACTGCTATGAAGAGGTAGATGACAGAAGTTGTGTCCCTTGGTGGGATGGTGGTAAGTCTATGGATTTACAATGCTAAAATTTGGGGTTTGATTCCCCATGGTGGAAACAGCAGGCTTTGCTTTAAAACAGACAAAAGTTGTTGTGAAAGATTTATCAAAACATAATGGTCTAAGAACCATCTGAGATTGTTGAAAATAGTGGAAACAATGGTGGAACAGGCCAGCATGTGGCAATAATAGGAACAGGAAAATGAGACCAACTGATCTTGACTAATACTTGAGAATTAAGATTAAATAAAAAGAATATGGGTAGAGAAAAAACATTTCTATCATGAATAGCTCAAAGTATTCACTACTAGAGAAGCTGGACCTAGAAGTGGAAACTAGTAAACCATTGAAAGATAACTTTGTCATAATCAATGAAATACCAGCTCAGAGAAAGACATGATGTGAATATAGCCAAAAAAGTAGAAAGAATACAGAAAGGTAAAGCTGTGAAACTGGGTCCCACCCTGTCTGTTAATATATGTCACTACAGTTGAATTGTCTGTGAGAACTAAAATACAGTAAGCATGGGATATCTGAGAAAACCATAAACCCAAAAGATGACAGTCTCCCAACACATCACCCCAGCCATGGAGAGAAGCATCTAGATCAGGAGGAGGTGGAAGAAAAGGGAAACCTACAATAGGAAACTAAGGAATGAAGCAAACTTGAAGGTAATCAACAGTAGTAAGAGAAATTCCAATACATAACAGGTCTCAGGATAAATGAAGGGGCAAGATTCCATTGATAATGTCTCAAGTATGCATTATCCATGGAAATTGCCATGTAAAGAGAAATGTGTGTTCAGCAGACTGAGAAATATGCATACCCAAAGCTATAGGGATTGCAAAATCGAAGAAGATATGTGAAGAGTTCCCAGAAAAGTGTTAATACAAAATTTCAGAAGAACAAGATATGAAATAGGCACAAGCTGAGACTTGAACTTGTGAACAAGTCATCCCAGTTAATTGGGTGGTCAATTCAGCAAGAGGAATGAGCAAAAATCCTTTAATCATTCATGTGATGATGACATCAATATCAAGTGTGTGTAAAGGACCAGCTAATGGTCTAACTGCATGGAGGAAGGTAGAAGGTGTTGAAGCCTGACCAAAAAGGGAGGGCAATAAACTGGAAAACCATCCCACACTGTGAAAATCAAAGATATTGACAAGAAGATGGATGAATCAAGATATATAAATAAACTATATGAAATACCCATTTATCATCTAGAAACCTTGACAAAGGAGCTTTCATAAGATTCTCATATTCCATCTAGAAAGTAGGAATATCTACTAACAAATGAGATGAGACAAATCTAAAGCCACTCTCCAAACTCCTGTTGTCTTTGGCATCACAAACAGATGAAAGTAAAAACTCTGAGGAAACATGAAGTACAACATCAATATCCCTTTATTGCAATAAAAATGCGAAATTGCCAAATCCAAAATCAAATGATAAATATGACATTGAAATGAAGTATTTAATCAACACAAGGAACACGAAGCAAAGGCTTCAAATAGAAGCGAAGGTGGCATCCAGATCATAAAGTCAATTAGTGAGTCATAAAGACCCACCTTGGTTAGATCAACATTAAAACACATTAAAAGTAGAAGGAGATGTAGCAAGCATCAAATAACATTACCTACAGGTCTCTAGAATAAAATGTTACTGGAAGTAAAATCAAGATGCTATAACCCTACTCAACCCCTATTGGCAAGTTTCCCCTGTTTGGGAAGGCACATATGTCGCAAGTCATTTTACACACACATATATAAAAGATGAGCATCGTGCAACAAAGTCCTACATCAAATATTTCAAAGGAACATAAAAGGCAATGAGACTTGCAGGTAATGAATATGTCAAAGTACATGTGTGATTATGATAAAAATACACAGAATAAGAATAACTAATAATGTCGTAGAATGTAAATGTCTGAATACATGACAAATTATAGTATGCGGGGCAGAAAACTGATGATAGGTCAAAGTAAAAAATAAAGATCTCATCATCAATAATAAAACAACAAGGTTAAAAACTTGAGGAAGAATAGTAGAAGGAAAAAATGAAGCATATCAATAATGAGCTAATTTTTAAAAAACATCTTCAATCACATTATCAGAAGAAGATGGTAGAAATAAATGATTCAAATACTAAATCATCTCACATGACATCTTCAGTTGCAAGTGAAATAGATTCAATATTGAAAATAAGACATAACTTAGAGAAAAGGAAATGAGGCCAGCACTTCAGCAGAAGCATCATCAGGAATTAGGGCTAGCACTGTAGCAAATAAATTTTACTCTTAGATTTTAAAGTGGTTAGGCCCGAGCAATTGATTGACTTTCATCAAAAACAAAAGAAAATGTTGAATATTTTGCAAATTAAGCAACCACACAATTGTGATCAGGAATGTCAGTATACAATGGCATGAATACATTGAACAATCAGAGATGTCAATGCAGCTAGAAGGTTATTCTGCAAGCTATAGGCAAATTGTGTAAGAAAAGCTTCCTATGGAAATTCTGTTAGTGGCAGAAATATTTGCATCACAAAGAATGTTGTAATAAAGTTAACCCCATGACTGTCAACAAGAAAAACCTAGATTATGGCAAGAAAGCAGAGTTTATGTAAAATCCCCTGATGCTTTCATAATAAGTCACATGAAAGGTATAACATAGGAGAATTATGGATAAGTGATGTGTGCTATGCATTGTGAAAAGGACACTCAGGAATTTTGAGCCAAATTTTTTGTTGAGCTTGAGTTCCAACTTAACAATGAGAGGCTTTCAGTATTTCAGAGGTAAGTTTACCTGAACTGAAAAAGAATATTCTTACATAGCATCTCATTTAACATTAAGAGAAATCAGAAAATCAATTAAAAACAAGTGAGTGCAAGAAGATGTTTACCCTCTGTCTGTTTGACTTCTTTGCAGTTTTCGTCCTTGGAAGGAGGGGTCTCTGTGAAACACAGATCAGAATAATGATCAAATGTTGTATGCAGTATCCGAACAGCACAGTCCTTTACCAAAAGATTTCTGGGTAACTCAAACTTGTGCCCTGCTTCTTTGAACTCCATTCCTTTGTAGCGTGGATTTTTGGATAAGTTGGCCCACAAACAGAAAGTAATCATACAGTGACCAAGATTTTCACTTGGAGCAGAGACATCGATGTCTGATCCATAATGATGCATGTTCAGTGTTTCTGGATCCACATGTTGAGATGCATTCTTTTTTATAGACATATGAAAATATTAAGGAGTTATGATCTTGAATTGAAAAAAATTTATTGTAACAATTAAAGCAATCAATTTCCATTGATGATAAGCACTGAAAAATAATACAAATATAATCATGTTTGCAAGTATATACACCCACTAACTAGCTAAATATATTTGTAAAATGCTTCAGCCTCAGAAATCCAAAAATTAGCCAAATTATTAGTTTGCAAGACAATGGATAACTATCTAATTTCTAAAGGGGCATTGTAGTGGGTACCAATCAAGCTGGACAGTCCTTAACAATGATTGTTCATTTGACCTACTGTTTAAAGTCATTTATAATCAGAGTTACATTTCCAATCTAAAGGGAATGTGTTCTTCACTGCGGTCAACTACTGGTGTCTCAAAAAATTAGCAGACTTGTTAAACAATCCTCCAAATGATTAGTTCCTTCAACAGTGGTCAGAACTTGAGATAATTAGTTCTTTCAACATTGGACAGAATTTAACTATCTTCAATTATACCATTAGAAGGACACAACAGAAACTATCATATGACACTCAACAATTTGTAGAAAACCACTTACCATTAGAAGGATAAGTTAACATTTTCCTAAACTGAAAATGTATTTCCATTAATTCTTAGTTCCACTGGCACTATAGCTATTTCTCAATCTCCAGGGTTTCCACTCTTTGCCCATTGAAAATGCTTGCTCCAGTCTTTTACACCCCACATGAATGCCTTCGGCAAATTCTAATTTGCAAAATTCTCCACCAACTTCAATGTGTCCTCTATCTAGGTACTGTATATGAGCACCTCATTCAGATAACGTAATCACTTTTTCGAGACATAAACCAATTTTTAGTGGGGAGGTAGGGTGGGAGAGTGTCAGTAGAGGTAAGTATTATTGGAAATACATTTTCAGTTTAGGAAGATGTTAACTTCCAAAACATACTAACCTCCACTGACACTATAGCTAGAATCC